GAGAACGACTAACTGCATTTGTAGGCACGATAGTAATACGAGATAGACTGAATGATTCAATGAGTGAACGAATGACTAACTGCTGCTGTGAACGTGAATGATTCAATGAGTGAACGAATGACTAACTGCTGCTGTGAACGTGAATGATTCAATGAGACAGTAACTAATGAAACCCGGACGGAAAGGTTATTAGGTAAACGAGTGATTGAACAATTGACCCTCTGAACTAGATGTAATCCTAAGGTGAACGAACGATTGTACAATTGAACTGTACAAACGAGGGAGTGAATCAGTGTTGTGGCTGTCTTTTTTTCTCTGAAAACTCCAGCACGTATTTCATGATATACCGTCAATCGAAGGAACATTACGAATTTACAACGTCTACCACCCCCTTCTCTTCACAGGAGAATTCATATCAGTTAAGCCCTACCGGCTTTAAACAGACCATCCTTTATTTGACGGATTCCTCAGCCAGAGAGGTCGACGCACCCTCATAAACGGATAAAACACAGCTGGCACAAGGATTTCTCGATAAAAATATAAAATAAATAGACGGTGTAGATTGATTGATGGATCGGCTGTCATTTTTTTTTCTAATCCCGAAGGACCAATCGCTCTCCTCTTTATTTGTATCTGTGTATTGTCAGGCTTTCTGTCAATTATGATCGAGCCCCGCCGGCGATACCCAGGGGATAACGGCACGTGGACGGTGAATCGTTCCGCATTTAAATTTTAATTTGATTTTATTTCGGATTGTTTTAAATTAAACTTTGGTGTTAAGAGAGGCTAATTTTCTATTGGATCCACCCCCGAGTAGTGTGCTTTGACAGAAGGCTTACCACCGGGCCTCGTCTGCCCTTTTCTACCTGGGGGCTTCGAGTAGGCGAAGGGCCTGAAGGCAAAAAAAAAAAAAAAGGAGGCCACCTGCATTCGGGAAAAATAAAACCAGGGGTTCAAATAAACATATGGACCTTTTAACTAAAAATTGACTCGGTTGAAGCAGCTACTCAGGGTGTCGCATGATGGACAAAGAACCTCATGCAATACTTCATTGCGTTTTTTCGATTTGTACTAATAAAACCGTTTTGTATTACCCGTGTTGCAGTTTTTTCGTTTTTTTTTTTTTTTTTTCTGATCGTGGGCGTCGAACCCATTGTATTCAGATTCGGGCCTATCCTCCTCGCACAACGGCATCTTGGAAAATATTCAGCCGGAGGACGGTCGCCGGGGGTTGGCATCTTCTGCAGAGAGGAAACGGGACAAAATCAGCCATCCTTTCAACGTGGAGAAAATGAGGAAGACGAAACATCGAGACCAGCTGAAAAATTTTCAAAGAAGGGAAACCAACGACGATCAATAACTTGATGAAGAAAACCAATCCACTACTAAACGAACGAGTCAGTGACAAAAAGAATGAATCAGTGACTCAACGACTGCATCAATGACCAAATAAATTAATCAGTAAATAAACGATTTGATTACTAAATGAACAATTCAATCAGCGACTGAATGAAAGAACAAGTCAGTCACTGAACGATCGAATCATTGACTGTACAAACCAGTTATTGATTTTAAAAAAAGTTTCAGAGACTGGACAAATGAATTATTGGACAACTAAAACGAGTCATTAACTCAACTATCGCACTTCATTCGTTCATTGACCGATTCATTTATTCAGTCACTCATTCATTTGTTCAGTCACTCATTCAATCGTTCAATCACTGATTCGTTCTTCCATTTAGTCACTGATTAGTTCGTTCGTTCACTGATTCTGTTGTTCATTCACTTATTATTCACTCACTAGTTCGTTCATTTATCCACTATTTGTTCGTTCATTCCTGTTTCTTACGTGTATACACTGATTCGATCGTCTATTTGCTGATCAGTTCGTTCATCTACTGATTAATTTCTTCGGTCACAGGCCATTTCGTTCATTTACCGATTCGTTTGTTCAGTCACTCATTCAATCGTTCAGTCAGATTCGTCCTTCGTTCCTGATTAGTTCGTTCATTTAGCCACTGATTCGAGTGTTTATTCAATCGTTCAATCACTAATTAGTTAGTTCATTTAGCCACTGATTTGTTCATTCATTCAGTCACTGTTTCTTACGTTTATGCACTGATTCGATCGTCTATTTGTCGATCAGTTCGTTCATCTTCTAATTAATTTCTTCAGTCATAGATCAGTTTGTTCATTTAATAATCGGTTTGTTCAGTCACTCATTCAATCGAGCAGTCAGATTTGTCCTTCCACTTAGCCACTGGTTAGTTCGTTCATTGGCTGATTCGTTTGTTCATTCCCTCGTTTAATCATTCAATCACTAATTAGTTCGTTCATTTAGTCAGTGATTCGTTCGATCAGTTAGCCACTGATTTTTTTGGTTCATTCATTGAATAGTTTGTTCGTTCACTTATTCAATAGTTCAATCACAAGTTAGTTCGTTCATTTAGTCACGATTCGTTCGTTCATTTAGTCACTGTTTCTTGCGTTTATACACTGATCCGATTGTCTATTTGCTGATCAGTTCGTTCATCTACTGATTAATTTCTTCAGTTACAGAGCAGTTCATTCATTTACCGATTCGTTTGTTCAATCACTAATCGTTTTTCCATTTAATCTCTCGCTCCCCGGCTCTTCCTCATTCAAACTTCTTCGCCTTGACAGTTTTTATTCCCTTACAAATGTCGATCCGTGCCGTATCCTTTCATACTTAATACGAGCTTCTATTGTTCTCTTGGTAATTTATTCGATGAGGTGATCCCATCGAACATCAATTTGATGTTGAGATAGAGGGAAGTGGAGATCCTTACGACATTTCGTCTCCTTTTCTCCGTGCGACGTTTTTCCCATATTCTAGCGATTACATTTTCCATAGTCGTGACCTTCCTTGATATGTTTTTATATTTTTTTTTCTTCGGTTAACTGTAAGGGCCTTACATCACTTTCCTCTCAAAACTGGGTCAAATGCCGGCGTTAGGGAACGGGGGAGGGGTCGAAAAAGGATGTACTCTGTATACAATCGTGACGTAGAAGCTTTTTTTCTTGTTCTTGTGTGATTTCTTCGAATGCTTCAAATGTTTGGTATTTAAAATACGTGCTCGATACGACAAACCGTCATTCATTAGATTCATCTTCACTGGCTTGTTCTTTTGATCGTTCCTTCACAATTAACTGTTTAGTGTCACCGATTCCTTAATATGATCATTGAATCGTTTGTATAGTCATCGACTCGTTCATTTGGCCGTTGATTCGTTCTTTTAATAGAGTGTTCATTTATTGACTCGTTCGTTGAACACGGTGTCGTTTCTTCTTGCCCTGATTCGTTTGTTCCATTAATTTCTGTTGATTCGCTGACTTGTTTGTTTGACCAAGGAGTCCTTTCTTCTCGCACCGAATTGATTCATTATTATAATCACAGATTCGTTCGTTCAATGAATCGATTGTTCATTGACTCTTCGTTTGACCACAATGTCTCCTCCGATTCGTCCGTCCAGTCATCGACATATCGTTCGTTCACATACTGATTCCTTCGGGCATTCAATAGTCAGATTTTTTATTCACTAATCCTTTTTTATTTATTTTTTTCACTTTGATCACGGGGTCCATTCTTCTGGCCATGATTCGTTCTTTTGGTTACTGACTCGTTTGTTCATTGAGTCATTGATTAGATTGTTCATTTGTGAATTGCTTATTTATTGATTAATTTATTTGGGTCACTAATGCGATCGTTGAGCCACTCGTTCTTTTTGTCACTGACTCATTTTTTGAATGAATAACTCATTTGTTCAGTCACTGATTCTTCGTTTATTCACCGACTGATTGATTTGTTCATTGATTCGTTCCTTTTATAACTGACTAGGTTTTTTAAATTAATAACTCGTTTGCTTTAGCCATTTACTTGTTCGTTAGTCACTGATCAACTGACTCATTTGTTGTGTCAATAATTCGTTTGTTGAACAGACGAATTTGTAAATGAACAATTCAATCAGTGATTAAATTTAAGAACGAATTAGTGTCTGAACGATTGTATCAGTGTCTGAAGAAACGAATCAGTAAATGAACGAACTGATCAGTGACTCTATGAACGAGCTAGTAATAACTTAACAAACGAATTAGTGTTTGAACGATTGAATCAATGACTGAAGAAAAGAATCAGTAAATGAACGAACTGATCAGTGACTCAATGAACGAGCTAGCAGTAACTAAACAAACAAATTAATGAATAAATGAGCAAATGAGTTATTGATTTTAAAAAACGAGTAAAAAAAGTAAGTAAAAAGTGAGAAAAGAACGAGTTATTGAATAAAAAAATCAATGGCTGAACGGACGAATTAGGGCCTGAAGAAACGATTCCATGGTCAAACGAACGCATTAATATGTGTACGATACAGTTACTAAAAGAATCAATTATGAATGAACGAGAACGACTAAATAAACGATGTAACAGGGCAAAGAAATCATTGACTGAACAAACGAATCAGTTCCGCTAAGAGTTTTACATGGCTGCGAATCGTGAGGAATTGTGTCAAGCGAGCATTTAAGGATTTCGTTGTAAAAAAAATTCTTACAAATCGGAAGCAAACACCTGCCTTCATAATTAAACGAAAAACCGGAATTAATCACGGCAGGTTCGTTGTCGCAACAGCGTTGGCCACCTGCCCCCTAAGAATTTGGCCAAAAACAATCAATTTTTATTTTCCGAGGAGGGAGTGGTGCAAATTTCGACTTTTTGAAAAGCCTCGACGGGGGTTTTTAACAAGCCTAAAGACAAACCGGCCCCAACACGTGCCCGAAGGTACATCTGCCTGGGACGAAATCTCTCCTGTTGCCCCTTGAGGACGTGTGCCCCCGCCGCTGAGCACCTGTTCCCTTCCATCTGCTTATTCCCGGTGAACCACCTGGGCAACACCTGCGACCGAAATCCCGACAGATTTTCACCTCCTCCGGTTGTGTTGTAAATACACTTAAAAACGTAGTCAAATAACTGAGATCCTACTCACGAGTGCCAAGTTGTCCAGCTCGCCGAGCCACACGTTCAGCAGGTCCTCTGGATCGTCGTGCTGTACAGGAGGCCGGATCTGGGCGGCTGCCGTCTCCATTTCTCTATTGAACGCCTGAAAAAAAAATCTAATGGAACAGCGTAGGACTGAAACTATTAGAAGTCGAAGGCCATATAACTGCTGATAATCAGCAATTTTAGTTAGATAAGATAGGTCGAGATGTTTCTAGAACGTAACTTTTAGCGAGGTAGGGAAGTAGGGATGATAATGCGGGAATAGGCGATTGAATGTGAAAAATTGAAAGGTGAACAATTAGTAAACGAATGGCGGATGGACGACCATTCGCGACCATCGATTCACTGGTCAACTTTTCACATTTGCATCTATATCTAATGAACATCTATGTCAATTGAACAGTTGGATCAATTTTGTATCAATTTCAATATTTATCTAAGGACGGATTATTTTCAAGTGAAATTTTTCAATTTTTTTTTCACAGTTTGCTTCATCATCTAAGGACAAATTGTTTGCATATAACCAGTGTTACCAATATTATTTATTGGTTTTGCATGTACATCTAAGGAAGGATAATTGTCAAGTGGACAGTGTTGCCGATTCTTCCACAATTGCATGTGAACGGTGTTGCATTTTTCAACATAATCGATTCTCGACGATTGAATTGATCCTTTTCGTTCGATTCAGATCGATTCTGTACCATCGATTCGACTCGTCCAAATCTATTCTTGACCAAAGATTAGACTCTCAAAATCGATTCCCGAGTATTGATTCGATTCAGAATCGATTCTTGCCAATTTGTGTGATTCCTCTAAATCTATTATTATTTATTGATTTGATTAAGAATCTATTCTTGACCATCAATTCTTTTCAGAATCGATAGTTTAACAAAGTTTCTATCCATAATCGATTGTTGCACATAGATTCAATCTAGAATCGATTTTTGACCGTCGATTCGATTCTTGAAACTCCATCCCCCTCTGAATAAATTCTTGATCAAATATTCAACTCGTCAAAATCCTTTCTTGCCTATTGATTCGTTTCAGAATCGATTCCTAACCATATATTCAATTCAGGATAGATAGACCATAGATTCGACTCATCAAAATCGATTCTTGAGCATCGATTTGACTCATAATCTATTCTTGTATATCGATTAGACTAATTAAAATCGATTCTAGACCATCTATTGAACTTGACCCTGCTTTTATCCTCTCAAGAATTGGTGTCCAGGTAGTTCAGTCTTATTCATCGAAGACTACCTCCAATTATTCATCAAATTGTTTATGTAATTGCTCCTATTAAATGGTCTAATCATTCCGTTTAGATTCGGATTCGGTTTTAGAAGAAAATTAACACCAATGGATTTGTTGATAAAATAAGACCACGTGATGTGAGAAGTTCACACATTTAATCAATTTTCAATTTCTATGATATAATTACTTAACGGATTTTAAATCCGGGTCCGTTGTTTTTGAAGAAAAATATTCGAAGGATTTGCATTCATCGACAGGAGACGTTCTCTCTCTTACATATTTCAAGGGCGAATAAATAAACAAACCAGCTAAAAATTCTCCTTTTCCTGCTTCTATTTACGGCTCTGAGTTGGGATTTTTTCCCCGTTAATTGATTTATTTTTATGCAATTTCTAAAAACTGGTTTTCATCAGCTGCGGTGAGGGTTCTCAAAATCGCGGCGAGGTTGCGCTCGCATTCATCAGGGAAGAGCTGCCTGGTAGTACTAAGCTGAGGCAAGAGATGACGCTAGCATGCTCATACCCTCTACCTTATCCCTCGTAACTATAAAAGTGGGAATACAAATTGGCCAAACTGTAACATCCTTAAAAGCACACTGTTCACTTGAAAACAATCTATCCTTAGTTGAAGTTCTTTTGTTTTAAGGCGGTTTTCAGGAAAATAAACCATTCAACTTATCATATTATTGATTGTTTGAATGTTCCTGAAAAAACCTTTAAAAATACTTGTGTAGTGTTTAGTGACCATAAGATTACGAGATGCGGTCTGGTGTGATAAATTGCCAAGGCTGTTCACTTGACAATAATCCTTCTTTAGATGTACATGCAAATTAAGTTTTAAAAAATATTGGCAACACTGTTCACTTGACAACAATCCTTCCTCAGATGTACACGCAAATTTAGTTTAAAAATAGTATTCGCAACTGTTCACTTGGCTGTGATCTGTTTTTAATGTAAACTTCAATTTAGAAAAAATGGTAACACTTTTCATTCGAAAACTATCTGTTCGTACCTAGAGTACATAGAAATATTGTACAGTTGGCAACAATGACCATATCAATATACTTTTACCTTAGTTATACATGTAAATTAAGCAAAACTAGATGAATATTCAAATTTATGAAAAAAAGACGACTGTTCACTTGAAATCAATTCTCTCTCTCTGTCTCTCTCGGTCTGTCTGTCTGTCTGTCTGTCTCTCTCTCTCTCTCTCTCTCTCTATATATATATATATATCTCTATAGAGAGAGAGAGAGAGAGAGAGATAAAGATATTTTACAATTGGCTACACTATAAATCCTACCTTAAACGTACTTGCAAATGTGGAAATACTGTGTAAAATTGACAAGTGTTCGCTTGACATATCCTTCCAAAGATGTATACATATAGACTGTATAATTGGCAAAACTGTTCACATGTTAACAATCCTCCCATGTATGTAACATGCAAATGTTGAAGTATTTCCAACACTGATCATTTAAGCAACTTGCAAATTTAGGGAGAAAAATGGCCCGCTGTTCTCTTGACAGTAATCCTTTCTTAGATGTGCATGTAATTATGAAAAAATTGTGCAGTTAGTAGCACTTGACAACGATTTCTCCTTAGATTATATATATTCTCTTTAGAGGATATATATCAAATATTGTAGAGTTGGTACCACTGTTCAATCGGCAACGATCTCTCCTCAGATGTATATACGGATATTGTACACTGAAGCGGATTGCTTTTACAGTTGAAATAATATTGGATTCTTATACTACGCCGAATTCCAGCTTTGAGCCTCCGTACAAAGTTATCCGACCACGGGCTGAACAAATTAAGAAAATCTATATTTAAACACCGGTGAACGTTTCGGATTATATTAAATTTATACACCGCAGGATGATATACAGGATATCTTCCAGAAGTAGACGGAACGCCTGTATAATCTCGGAAATCCGGAACGGGGGACATTTTTGTTGTTGTTAATTAAAGAACACCTTGTTAAAATAACACCATCGTTCCGGCCATCCCAAAAAGGGCCACAAATAGCACGTAAACGACATGAAGGATTCCCCCTCCGGCTAAATAAAGACGCCCTACGGTGAAAGGTGACGAAAATAAAAATTTCAAAAGGCAAGCAGGAAGGCCCTCATCAAGATTCCATGGAGCCGGCATCGACTCGCACCTATCCGCCGCCTGACTTGAATGGAGAACATTTTATTATTATAAACTAAACAAAACGGATTGGCGTACGCGTCCGGCATGCGGATTCCCCGATTTGGTCGGATATCGTAAATATACAATGGACCTGGGAGCCGGGAGGTGAGAAGGGGGACTACCTATGGATGGATATCACATGAAAATGAACCAATCCGAAGATTTTATTTTATGACAATGACATCCGCTTATAATAAGCAGGCGCTCTTGAATTCTCTAAGCGGTTCGTAATACAAAATCGACGCGTGTAACTATAATTTAAACAAACAATTAATTGTATGCAAATAATGAGAAATTGCATGTACTTTTAAGAAGGATTGATCTCAAAAGAACAGTTTCACCATCTTTTCTTAATTTGCATGCACACGGAAGGATGATTTGTTTTCAGGATAACAGTGTTGCCATTTTTTCTCTATAGAATTGTATGTATATGTAAGGAAGGATTGTTGTCAGGTGAACAGTTTTGCCATTTTTATCTTAATTTGTATGAAGTCAAGGATGGATTTTTGTCAAGTGAACCTTGTTGACAGTCTTTCCACATTTCCATGTCCATCTAAGGAAAGACTGTTGTGAACAATGTTGCCAATTTTTCCACAATAGCATGTACATCTAAGGAAGGATTGTTGTCAGATGAACAGTGATGACATTTTTTCTCAATTTGCATGTTCATGTAAGGAAGGATTGTTGTCAAATGATCAATATTGTCTTTTTTCTAAATTTGCAGGTACCTGTAAGGATGGATTTTTTTTTTCAAGTTAAAAGTGTTGACGTTTTCTCTCATGTACACATACATCACGTACATTCGATTAAGGATTAATGTCACGAGAGCAGTGTTACTAACTCTTCAGCTTTCTGTGTACATACATCTAAATGAGTGTTATCAAACGAACAGTATTGCCAATCTTCCCACATTTGCATGTACATGTAAGGAAGGATTGTTGTCGCGTGAACAGTGTTGCCATTTTTTCTTATTTTGCATGTACGTCTAAGAAAGGATTGTTGTCAACTTAACAGTGTTGCCATTTTGTATGGTGTTTAGTGACCGTTAGTTAATGACTATTTGAAGATCGTGAGATGTGGTTTGGTGTGAAGTAGGTTTTATAAAAACATTTCCTTTATCGTGCCAACGTTTCGATCTTTATTGAGATCATCTTCAGGGCTCAAAGTGTTTGTTGCCATTTTTTACGTCTAAGGACGGAATGTTGTCACGTGAACCGCCAACCGTTTCAAAGTTTGAAGATGATACAATGATTTGTAATGTGTTTTCAACCCTTGTTGGTGACTTTGAATACGAGCCCTGAAATGCTTTTTTAACGGCTCTGAACTTTACGCCTCGTTTTTCTTTTGGTCCAAAATAAAAATTGGCCTAGCCACGCCGCCGCCGCCGCCTCCAATAACAGTTTGATTTATCGAAACAGTTAATCGTCTCAATTGGACGTTGCGCCAACTTCTGAGAAAAGCAGTTCGGCTTGTGTTTTATTGCCCGTTTTGAAACGTCACGATTGCCTCTTATCGCAAAGCTTGCGTAACTCAGTCAATCCGCTCATCCTTGGCGTTCCAATTGTATTATTGCACATCTTTTTTTTCAATGGACAGGTCGGCGGTTGCCGTGGGGAGAATACGTACGGGAATAAAGCGGTTTTCTCGTGGGCTCTGGGGGGTGTGAAATGGACCGGGGGATGATTTGATCGGCCACCCCTAAACTTCGTTTACACCTGTAAAAGGGGAAAAGGGATGCGTAAAAAGTAAAAGAAAGAAAAACTGAACTAGTGGTATTTCACTGGATTGCGTCAATTTATGTATTATTTTACGTACAATTGTGGAAAAATTGGTGTCACTGTTCGCTTGACAACAATCCTTCCTCAGATGTATGTAGATAATTTTACAGATAGCAACACTGTTTACTTGACAACGTTTGCGACAGGATTATGTCATTTTCGGAAAACGTTTGGACTTTTTTTTTAAACAGTGAAAATTTCAAGATTTCACCGCGACAGGTGTTTCAAGAAGTGGTACACGTAGGCCATGAGTGTGGGCATCACGTGTCCGTGGGCATTTTCATTCAGGTCGTGGCACCTACGCCCGCTTCGAAGGATACAAAAACTAAATAAATCCTGCTAAGCTTTTGTTCTTTGCCTTAAGCCGGTAAGCCAATAAGGGAATATTCTCTTGAAAAATACTCAAAGCGAAACACCCGTATAAATGATCAGCAGAAAATTCTTGCTACAATCTTGCCAATCCAAAAGTCCAAATAAAAACAAAGAAAAATACCAGCGATAACCTTTGTAAGATAAACGGGTTAAACTAAGAGTTGCTGTTTAGAATTACGTTAGAATCTCTGAAAATATGAGCAATGCCTTTGTCATTTTAGTATTTGCGCACTATTACTGAAGTTTCGTCATTAATGGCCCAACTGTGATTGAAGACCATGGTGTGTTGTCACCGTGTTCATCCAAGAAGAGCGACAAACGGACAATTTTCCCCTTTTTCGTTGTCATATAATTACCGTATTAAATACGATTTTACACGCCCGTGTTTACGGCATGATATTTTTCTCTATTTGTCGACCTGGGGTCCTTGGTGGGGCTACCGGCGGATAATGGCATGCAATTTCAGCAGGGAGCGCTCAGGAAACGGCCTCCGAGTGACCACTGGCTTAAATACATAATTATCCGAACAAGACAAAAGGACGAAACTAAATGTACTATTTTTCAAAGCATCAGGCCCGAGGGATTCTTGAGGATCGCAGGTCGGCACACGTGTTTTTCATTTACACGAGGAACCTGCCACACCCTTACTAAAGAATGACTTCCGGCAGAACGCTGTTTCTATTTTTTTCCTATATACAACGCGTTTTCGAAAAGCTATTAATTTTTTCCCAGATCGGTATCCTAAACGTGTATCTGGGAGTACTGTAAAGAGAAAAGCAACACTGTTCACTTGAAGACAATCCTACCTTAGATGTACATGCTATCGTGAATAAATTGCCAGCCCTGTTCATTTGACAACCATCCTACCTGAGTTACACATGCTATTGTGCTATTGACAAAAATTGTCGACACTGTTCACAACAATCTGTCCTTATGTGTACATGCTATGGTGGAAAAATTGACGACACTGCTCATTTGACAACAATTATAACTTAGATGTACATGTCATTGTGGAAAAATTGATGACACTGTTCATTTGACAACAATTCTACCTTAGATGTACATGCTATCGTGGAAAAATTGACGACACTGTTCAATTGACAACAATTCTACCTTAGATGTTCCTGCTATTGTGGCAAAATGGGCAACACTGTTCACATCAGTCTGTCACATGTAAATGTTGGGAGAAAATTTTTTTTTAAAGTGATTTCGATATGCTGATGTTGATCAGATTATTGCCAACGTGACAGAAAATTGCAACATTGTTCCTATAGAGAGATTTTAAGCAGACTGATCGGCCGAGTAGAAACTAAATTAACAGTCGGTAGAAAGTGTGTTTTTGTTTAGTGATTGTGGTTGATGTTCTCTCTCTATGACTCATGAGTGTCTTAGCCACTGAATAGAATCTAATCAGAGCTGAGATGTTTTGTCAATCTCCCCGTCTTCAATTAGCGAGGCTGATCGGTAGAGGAACAACTTCCAGTCCCGTCCGTCTTTGTTCTCCGGGCCGGAAGCCGGGAAGAAGGGACGTCGTACGGAGGCAGGAAGTGAAGTACAGTCCTGGTCAAAACGGGATCCCTCCGCCCAGATAGATGGCCGCTTTTTCGCAATTACTACTCGCAAGAGGATTTAAAAAAAAATTACAATAAATAAAACCACTTACCACCTTCTCCTGGAATCTAACGCTGGAAAAACATCCCTGAAAAAAAGAAAATTTCGAGTTTAAAATAAATTGTCAAAAAGTTCTGTTAATCGGCTGGCGGACCGAACAAAATAGACGAATCAATCTTTGAAGGAGTGACCGATGGAACTAACCGAAATATATGAATGTCTCACTGATACCTAAGTGAAAGAAAGTCTGATTGATGAAACTAAGTGAACGTATGATTGACTTGCTGATGGAACTAAGTGAACGAATAAATGACATGCAGATGGAACTAAGACAAATAATGAATGTCTGTCTGATGGACCTAAGTGAAAGAATGAATGTCTGATTGATGGAACTAAGACAAAAATATGAATGTCTGGCTGATGGAACTAAGACAAATAATGAATGTCGCTGGAACTAACTGAAAAATACGAACGTTTCACTGATGAATTTAAGTGAAAAAAAGAATGGTCGATTGATGAAAGTAAGTGAATGTATGATTGACTTGCTGATGGAACTAAGTGAAGAATGGTTGACATGCAGATGGAACTAATACAAATAATGAATATCTGTCTGATGGACCTAAGTGAAAGAATGGATTCCTGACGGATGGAACTAAGTAAAAAAATGAATGTCTGTCTGATAGAACTAAGCGAATGTCTGGCTGGTGGAACTAAGACAAATAATGAATGTCTGATGGAACTAAGGGAAAAATATGAATGTCTGGCTGATGGAACTAAGACAAGAATGAATGTCTGATGGAACTAACTGAAAAATACGAATGTCTCACTGATGAATTTAAGTGAAAGAAAGAATGTTTGATTGATGAAACTAAGTGAACGTATGATTGACTTACTGATGGAACTAAGTGAAAAACGAATGACATGCAGATGGAACTAAGACAAATAATGAATGTCTGTCTGATGGACCTAAGTGAAAGAATGAATGCCTGATTTATGGAACTAAGTAAAAAAATGAATGTCTGTCTGATGGTAGCCTAAGTGAACTAATGAATGTCTGATTCCTAAAACTAAATGAACGAATGAATGATCGCTTTTTGACCCAAATGAGTGGCTCTTACTTGAGAGTACTTAATTGAATATAAACGTTCGGCAGACGTTTGGCGTCTTGCGCGTCTTAAAAGAAATATGTTTGAACAGATATTACAGATTTAAAAAATTTTCTTTCCCATAAAACGACACCTAACTCAAAGTCGGTCTATTTCCTGTTGGGGAAGTTGTGGTTGATTTATAGCAACAAAAAAAGGCCGCAAATATTTAACGAATGCGTTACTTAGAGACCGTCTTCGAGAAGGCCCGGTACGAGGGATGAGGGAAAAATTTCTGAAAGCGCGAGGGATGCACCCTTGGGAAAACAACCATAATGGATTGGGCCATTGCCTACCCCCCTCGAAGGAAGGGAAAGGGAATTCATTGGAAAATACTCAATCTTTTAATTGTTTTTATTCCCTTTTCCTCCTTTGTGTCTAGCGGTTAGTGAAGGGGAGAATGTTTTCTCCGGGACGGAGGCGTTTGACCTTTTAACCACCCCCAGTGGGGAAAAAAATCGTGGCGCGGCTCCAGACGGCTTACAAAGGTCTTTACTCTGCAAATGCGGGGGTTGAAATTCAAAAAATCTAGTATTGGTCGTGTACGAACGAGTGACTTACATCAATGAGTAAGTACTTTTAGAGCGAAAGTGAACGAAAGAGGTGCTGGCTGATGAAACTGCGAGAATTCATAAGGGACTGGTAGTTAAGACACATTCACCATCACGTGGAAATTGAAAAAGATAATATAAATGAAATGGGTCGATGATGGGACTTGTTTGATAAGCGTAAACAGAAAATTTGTTTAGCCATGAGATGCTAATAGTTGTTTCCAGTTCGAATGATAACAAGGCCACGATGTGCTGTTGCACAACGTCCTCGCTCTCGTGGGTCCGCCTCTCCTCGCTCCGTCGCACCGGCAATACGGCCCCAGATTTACACCGCCGAATCGAAGGGGGGGGGATTGATTTTTCGTAAAAGGGAAAACTGAGTCGGCGACACCCCTCAGACTGAGGAAGACGGGGATCCAGGGTCTGACTCACCGGCCCCTTCCCTGGTGACTCATAGGGAAGACGCTGTACTGGACCTGGCCCAAAATGATCTTTTTCTCTTATCCCGGGTCTCATTGGGAAATCAGATTTGGCAAAGTCGCGAAACCACAACGGTCCTAGCTGGAAGGGTAAAGAAAAAAAAGAGGAAAGAGGATCCTGGGGCAATTCTGACCCTAGTTTTATTGGCCCTACCATGTGCCCCTCCAGATCGTTTCCTTACAAAATTGAAGAAATCTGGCGATTGGGATTCCACTTGTTCAGTTTAACAGAATTCCGTCCCTCAGAAAGGAAACCCATTAGTTTCAGCCTTTTCTACAAGCCCAAACGCTGTCTAACCATTCAACCTAACAAGATTGTTAACAAGTAATGACAACAAAGTATGACACTTCGGCATAATGACCGGCCTACCTGAATTGGTACCAATTTGCCAACTTATACCTCAGCATAGTTACCCTTTAAGGTGGAACCAATGTTGCCAATTTAAACCTCATCATACTTGCCTATTTGCAACAATGTTGCCAACTTACTCGGCATAGTTGCCTAAGAGGTAGCAATATTGCCAAACCTCAGCATCGTGGCCTACCTGGGATAGTAGCAATGTTCCCACTTACTCAGTCTAACTACCTACTTGAGGTGGTAACAAGGTGGTTGCTAGTTCTCACCACAACCTATTGGCCTATCTGTTACTAACATACTCAGCAAAATTGCTTACTTGAGATGGTATTATTGTTGCCAATTTACTGGGCATAGTTGGTAGCAATGTTGGAAACTTAGTGGGCACAGTTGCCTGTTTGAAAATGGTAATAATGTTGCTAACTTACCGGGTATAGTTGCCTATTTGTGATGGTAGCAATGTTGCCAACTAACTCGGCATAGTAACCTATTTGGGTCGTAGCAATGTTGCTAACTTACTCTTCAGGATAGTTGCTTATTTGAGGTAGTAGCAATGTTGCCAACATACACCTCAGTATATTTGTTTATTTGAAGTGGTAGCAATGGTGCCAACTTACACCTCAACATAATTGCGTATTCGAGGTGGTAGCATTGTTGCCAATTTACACCTCGGCATAGTTGCCTAGTTGACGTGGTAGCACTGCACCTGTGCAAGTGTCCACAGATAGTCTAAATCAGCTGTTCATTAAAAAAATGAAACTGCAATCTCAGAAATTAATTAAAAATTAATAAGCAATTTGTATAATGTTATTTTTAGTATCTATTAAGGGCCAAATTGAACATTAGTTAGATTAGCTACTAAGATTTTTTTGTGGAGAGGACGTCGAAGTAAAAATATGATAAATTTATCCATTTACCCGAATCATCTGTGGTATCCCTTTTAATCTCAGTGCCGGATGTCTTATCTGCCCGAACAGGATACGACGTTTTTCCCACTCCTACTTCTTTTAATTTTTTTTACCATTCAACTGTGTCTCTACTCCGGCAAAGACGAACGTCTTTCGCACGCACGTGTCAGACGTAAACAAGCGACTAAAAATCTGTAGAGAAATGGACAGAAAAAAAGGTAAACCAGTTTCAAAACATCCGGTGCGAAAAGGGTGGCCGGCGGGGGCAGCGTGTGGGTATCTGGATCGCCCACGGGACCTGGTGCAACCTCTGGCCCAGTTCGATCTTTTAAAAAAGAAGTCCAAATTTTGGCAATTATTACGTAAAAGTCGAAGCCACAAAAAGAGAAAATACTAAATTAGTATGAAGTCAGCACCAGCTGGTCGAACTATCATCTGTTTCAAACGATAGTTACTACAACCATGATAGTAACTACTAATTAGAATTAGTACCTATCACTAGTAGTTTGTACATTACAAGTATGGTATATCTAGGAGGAGAGGGCACTATGTTGCTTTGTCAGTCTGTAGTACTGGTAGTACATTTAGTAACTCCTAGAGACAATTAGTACCTACTAAAGTAGTAATAGCAAGTAACATAGATTCACTTAATAACAACTACATACAATTGATACCTATTACTACTACACAAATTAGATAGTATTTTGGAAATTGGTGCCTATTACCGGTTGCCATGATTGGGTGACATTCTCTCGTTATCTCAGTCAGCTGTCCTGATAGTACCTTTACTATCTCCTAATACAATTAATACCTACTACTTCCACACTAGTAAGTATTGTAGATTGTATCCAATTAGGCCTACAGCACAGTATTTTCTCAGGTTTGATATTGGTAACTACTAAATCTGATTAGTACCGATTACTACTACTACACCAGCTAGATTGCATTTTGAACCCAAGTTAAACCAGGTTGGTTGACAAACTATCATTTTATCGGTCTGCTGATAGTACTTTTCGTAACTACTACATATAAATAGAATCTACTGGCTTCCACGTTAATAGTTTGTAGACTAAAAATATGTAATACCTAGGTTGATAAGGCACACTGTTGTTTTGTCAGTCCCAATAATACTTTTAGTAACTACTACAAACATTACTTTGGCCGGATATCAATTGATGAGGCCACCAGACTACACAAGATATGCTGCACTTGTATAGTCTGAAGCACTGATAATAGTATTAGTAAGTACTACTTTATTTGCAACCTACTACTTCCACACTAGTAGTTTGCACGTATATAAACAAATGTTGACAAGGCACACTAGTGTTTGTCAGTCTCAACAGTACTCTTAGTAATTGGTACATACGATTAGTACCTTCAAATACTACACCAGTTGCATTGCATGTTGTACCCAAGTTAGAGCTGGGTTGATTGACACACTGACGTTTTCTTAGTCTGTAGTACTGATATTCACTAATTTTTATACACTAGTAGTTTGTAGATTGTGAGTAAGTACTTCAGATCTAGGTTTACAAGGCACACTGGAGTTTCGGCAGTACGAATAATACTTTTAGTAACTATTACCTACTATGAAGTCAGCACCAACTGGTCTATCATCTATAGCAAACTACTACAACAAGTAACCAAGAAAGTAACTACTACTTAGCATTTGTACCTAATATTTATACACTAGTGGTTTATAGATTATAAGTATGGTAGACCTAGGTGGACAAGGCACACTGTTATTTTGTCAGTCTGACAGTACTTTCACTAACTACTAATACACTTAGTACCTACTAATTCCACACTTGTAAGTGTTGCAGATTATTGCTATGCAGTATTTTCTCATGTTAGATAGTATGCGAGTAATTACCACATGTAATTAGTACCTACTATTACAATATCAGTTTAACTGCAACACAACGAAAACTACAATTACGACTGACGAAAGAACGGTGTGCTTTATACCTAGGTAACATATTTGTAATCTAAAATCTGTTAATGGGAAAGTAAGTAGTATGTAGTAGTTACTAAAAGTACTACAGACCGTCAAAACTACAGAAACTACACAGGTCCAACTTGACTACCACTACAACGGTTGCGTTGAGTGTTGTATCCAATAACTGTGTTGGTTAACAAATTGGTGTTTCGTCAGTACCAATAGTACTTTTTGTAACTACTATCTACAATTAACTACTTCTACATAATACAAAATTGTGGAGTATATTCATTTTAGAACTAGGTTATTACTTCTATTTTTATATTTTCTTAGGTTTGAGTGTTTGACAGTACGTTTAGTAATTATTACGGTAGACCAATTTTTTTCATATTGTTAAAGCTGGTTGGTCGACACACTGTAGTTTTGACAGTACCAATAGTACTTTTAGTAACTATTACCTACAATTAACTACTACGAATGTCCAAATGGTAGAGTATATTCAATTAGATTTAGGTTATTACTTCACAATATTTTCACAGGTTTGACAGTACGTTTTTTAGTAACTACTACGACTATAACAGTTAGAATGCATGTTGTTAGTCCTGATTGGTTGACACACTGTAGTTTTGTCAGAACCAATAGTACTTTTAGTAACTACTACATACAACTAGTACTTCCTACTTCCACACCAGTAGGTATTGTAGATTACATGTAATAGATAGGTTATTACAATGCAATATTTTCTCAGGTTTGAGTGTTTGAAAGTACGTTTAGTAGCTACTACGACTAGACCAGTTTTTTCATGTTAGAACTGGTTGGTTGACACACTGGTGTTTCGTCAGTACCAATAGTAATTAGTAACTACTACCTACAATTAACTACTTAGTACTTATTCGGAGCTGTCTGACCGGTCTTTAAATATTTGTTTATTAAATTCCCAAAGGGGAGGCGATTTTGAATTTTTTCGCAATACGCCGAAATGCGGCAACGCACGAGGAATTGCGTGTCTGTACGACTTTTATCGCGATGGCACGACAAGCCCGTATTTGAAATTGACATTGTCACATTCTAAATGCATTCTTTATCGTTAATACATTAATTATTAATTAATTTTTTTGTGAAATAGAACGCGTGCGACTTACCTTGCGAGGGGATAATCCTTGTGCCGGCGGTGCGACGTGGACTCCACGGCGGTTTTCTGTCGAAGACTGGCCGAAGGGAGCGGGCGCGATGGAGATGGCCGTGGAAGGGTGGGGTGGGCGGAGGCGTGTAGGGCGGCAGGGGAGGCCGGCCGCCGCCCCCGGGGCAATCAATACCGCCTCCATCCCGCCGAATTTAGCGAAATTCAAAAACGACTTAGGTGAATTTTTTTCAACCGTCAAAAAAAAAAAAAAATCTTTCACAATAAAATTACTTAGCCGATTGTATAGATTTTTTTAAAATCTGGTTCCCGCTATTGTGGGGGTTCCTGAGCTGTGGCCCAATCTCCACCCGGCTTGAAATTTTTTAAGGCGGAAACTGACCCAAAGCGGTTGATCGCCTTTTATAATTTATAAAAAAAAAAATCTAATTTGGCAACAATGTCGACTTTTCCCGCCAAAATTGTTGCCTTACAAAAAATCCAAGTTTTATTACAAAAACATTAAAATTTAATCAAATCGATAAGTAGCAACAGATGAAACAATCGTAATATGGTTGAACATTAGGAAACAGAGAGATTCAGCTGTTCAGGTGGCAAATTAATCCAGGCTGGAACATACCACATGGTTTTTTTTAACAGTTGAAACTTTTGCAACGTTCGGAATTGTGGACACTTCCAAATAGTCCATTTTTGAAGGGGGATCAATGAATATAACACTTAGAATGTTCCCCACTGGTACTTTTGAACAGTTGAAAATTGTGGAACGTTTCAGTCGGTTTGGAATTTTTAATACTTCCAAACCGTTCATTTTTAGAACAATAGAGGGAGTCACAAGTTCGACTTGGCACGTACCTGACCGGTACTTTTGAACAGTTGAAACTTTTGGAACGTTTCAATCAGTTTGGAATTTTTGATACTACCAAATTATCATCTCAACTATACCTCGAACAAGTTGAATTAATGAATTAATTAACAAGAAAATGAAATTGTAGATAAAATCCGGGGTGCTTTCAAATTGAAAGAAACAGTGTCATCTCTTAAGAGAGGGGAAGGGGAATTATATAATTTATTGAGTATTTATTGACAAAAAAAAGAAGAAACAACATCAGTTGATGCAATTTCCATTGACATTCTGTAATTTTTCCTCGCACTCTTTTAAATTATAAATACAGGTTTGAGGATGAAAAAAGAAATTATAAATACATATGCATATCAATGAATGTGTATTAGTGTTACAACAGCCATTGTCAATCAGCTATTTGTCGACTTGTCGAACCATGCCAATGTCGGAGCAATCATTAAATTGCAAATACCCAAATCAATTTTATTTTTTTAAATTATTATATAAATAAATAAAGTTTTTTTATGTACTCACTTACAATTGTAATAGTATACTTACACCACGTTGTCTACTTAAGAGGATAGCAATCTTGCCAACTTACACCTCAGTATAATTTCCTACTTGGGATGATGGCAATGTAACCAACATTGCACACCTCAGTATAGTTTCCTATTTGAGGTCGTAGTAATGTTGCCAACTTATGCCTCAGCATAATTGCTTAACTGAGTGGTAGCAATGTTGCCAACTTATACCTCAGCATAGTTGCCTACTTGGGATGATGGCAATGTTGCCAACATATACCTCAGTATAGTTTCCTATTTGAGGTCGTAGTAATGTTGCCAACTTATGCCTCAGCATAATTGCTTAACTGAGTGGTAGCAATGTTGCCAACTTACACCTCAGCATATATATTACACAGGGCGGGCGACCAGGACCCGAGGGGTTAAAAGCCTGAGTAGGCCCGTACCCCATCCCTAATACACCTCAGCATAGTTGCGTACTTGGGATGATGGCAATGTTGCCAACATACACCTCAGTACAGTTTCTTACTTGAGGTAGAAGCAATAATGTTTCTAACTTACTTCTCAACATAGTTGCCTATTTCAGGTGTTGCAATGTTACCAAATTACACCTCAGTTTAGTTGCCTATTTGAGGTGGTAGCAATGGTGCCAACTTACATCTCAGCATAGCTGGCTATTTGAGGTATTAGCAATGGTGCCAGCTTACACTCCAGCATAGTTGCCTACTTGGGATGATGAAAACGTTGCCAACTTATACCTCAGTTCAGTTGCCTGCTTGAGATGGTAGCTATGTTGCCAACTTAAATCTCAGCATCGTTGCCTATTTGAGGTAGTAGCAATAATGTTGCCAACTTACACCACAATACAGTTTCCAACTTGAGGAGGTAGCAATGTTACCAACATACTCCTCAGTTTAGTTGCCTATTTAGGTGGTAGCAATAATGTTGCCAACTTACACCTCAGCATAATTTCCGACTTGGGTTGGTAGCAATATTGTCAACTTACTCGGCAGCTGCCTACCTTGTAAATGTAATGCAAAAAAAGAATATATATTAATGTTATTTATGTATATAAATATTTGCATCTGTATTTATATTATTTTAGTTTTAATATTGGAGGTGATACATTTTTTGTTCTCACCAAACCATTTTTTGTGTATAATAAAATGACCAACAAAAATAGTCATGCATATAATATTTAAAATATCTTAATTTTTATTTTATACTTTTATTAATGTATAAATGCATCAATTAAATTCTTACATATGATGGAAACGTCCTACCTTATTGTCTCGGAGGCGGTGGACTGGCATTGTCTCCACCGTGCTCAAAAAAGAATCACATTTGATGCAAATGGTAAATGTCCACAGCCCCCCTTCTTTCAGACATATTGCCCAGGTGATAAGTGATAATCGTCATATCAGTTTATCGCCTTCACCTCGTGACAGGAGGGGAGGCAATATGGGAACAGAGATAAAAACAGCGCAAATATTTATCAAAATAAAGTGCGAGATAACTGACTACAGATATAGACCAATAAATACTTTCTTCATCCCCCCCCCCTTTTTTACAACATGACAATGTTGATAAAATGGTAGTTTTTTCTGCAACAACTTAGTATCATGATTTCCTTTTATGGGATATGATATGAGGTTTGGCACAGATTTTGCATTATTGGATGATATGGTCAGACAAAGATTTAGAATTAATATATACGTTGGAAAAACAAATAATTCCTACTTGTTCCGAAGGTCAGACAAAAATATATTATTGGAGCCAAAGGCGAGTCTGATGTTTGAACAAAGATGGGACAAATTATGAATGCTAAATGTCAATTTTATTATTATTATTATTTCATTTTATTTTTTATTGAATCTGATTGGAAGGTTACTGTCAGATATGATAGCTAGACAAATATTCTATTTTGGGATATGATGGTTGGACGATTTTTTTACATTTAATATCATATTAAATCCACTATATTTAGTGGTCTATTGACCAAATGACTACTTTCAATTAGTTGATCTTTTTATGTAAGGTTTTTGGTTGAAATGAAAAACCTAGTGTCACGAGCTTTTTCACTTCAACCAAAAACCTTTTATAAAAAGTTTAATCTCACAGTTGAATAAAGATTATCTACTATATGTGATGATTTTGCCTTATCAATGTCAAAGAAAATATTCTATGATAGGATGAAGAGATTTGTAAATATCGAATCAGATGGACAATGATTTTTCTATTTTGGGATAAGACAGTAAGACAGAGTTCCTAAAGATGAGGTATCAGCGGGTTCACTTTTGCAATTCATGCAAGAGACGTGGTTGTAAAAGTCTTTCAACTTGATGATGAGCTAAAGGGCTCGAAATCCGGAACGTTGCAAAATATCTTACTGTGAGTAGGAACTATCTTTTTAAAAAGGATTGAACACCGTAATCACTCCATCATTTATCATTTCCAAGAGTTCCTAATACTGAATCTCATACATTAACTTTTCCTACTACAATGGATAGACCTATTGTGGAATCGACAGTTTGACAATGATTGCTTGCATTAATGGATCAAATGGTCAGACAAATTATTCTATTATGGGTTGAAACAATCAGATAAAACTTTCTAATATTGAACCAAACCGAAAGAATATTATGGGATATAAATGTTGGATTATGAGTTTGTTTTATTGGATCAAATGGCGAGACAAACATTCTATTATTGGTATGAGTCAAATTAAAAAAAAATTCAAAAGCTGTATATTACGGGAAATGATTGTTGGACGATGATTTTGTATTAATCGATCAAATGGCCAGACATACATTCTATATAATTTTTTTTTTTAAACAGTGAATCCAATGAAAAAGCTTTTGGATTATGGGATGATGATTTTGTATTATGAGTCAGATCAAACAATTTCAATATTAAATCTAATTAAAAAATCAAAAGCTTTTGTATTATGGGATATGATTGTTGGATGATGATTTTTTATTATTAGTTAGATCAAAAAATTTCAATATTGAATCCAATAAAAAATTCAAAAGCTTTTGTATTATGGGATGAAGATTGTTGGTCGTTGATTTTATATAATTGAATCAAATAGCCAGACAAACATTCTATTATGAGTGGGAACAGTCAATTTTTGTAATATTAAATCTGACAGATAGACAAAAATTTTGGGTATTATGGGATGTCAAATATTTTCTTGTATGTAATTTTATAATAATTGTGAATGCTTCAAACGCCGATATGGCTGAACCGATCCATGGATTTTCATTCTTGATTGCTTAAACACTGACCCCAAATTTGTTCGTAAAATTATGAAAAGTCTAAATTATTAATCGAGGGGGATGATAAGTAATTAAAAAACACGAACTGTAAGTAATTGAAATACCATTGATCTGATGATTGTTCCTAGCAGTCTGGCTCATTTTCACCAAATATTATTGACACTTATGACAGTGCGATGACATAAATTTAATTTATAAAAGCAGGCAAAATAATAAAAATTAAAGCTAATGTTAGATTAAATGTTAAATACAATTTTATTTCTCCTTCCATGTAATAAGTTCAAAGATTTACATCGTACCGATGAATATTACAACTACTGAAAAGATTTTTTAAATTTTATACAGAATGTTTACTTCCACTTGTCGTTTTCGTAGTCCCATTTTGAAGAGATGCCTTCAATGGGGTCCATTTTCAGGTCGAGTATTCGTCTCAGTTGAGCCCTCTTTCTGTTTTCGCTGAACGACTCTGGCAATTCGGGATTATGGCCTGAATTGACAAAAATAAATATAAAGTAAAATAATTTCAACTTCAAATTCAACATAAATGATATTAAAATACCGAAGAATTTTGTAAACATGAAAAGCCAGAGCGATGAGGAAATAAGAATGAGCGAGAAGCCGAGTATGCTCTTCCATTCGCCGGTGGGTGCTTCGACTTCTGCGAGCGTCTGGCAGAAGGAGTAACGGTATAAAGCCTTCTTATCCGCCATGCTCAGTTTCTTCCAGTCGCCTTTCTCCTTCTCCTGGAGTTCGCGTATAGCTGGCGTCTTCTTGCCGAAGCGCACTGAAGGCATTGGGAAGTCACTCCTGTCGACGTAGTTCGCCTCGCCGTTGTGCCCGAAACCAATTACCTCCCGGCCGGCCAATTTGGTAATGTACGACGGGACGGTCACCGCCGATGAGCCGGCGCGCACCGATTTCAACATCGGCAATGTATTTTTTAAAAGCCTAGCCATCTTGGGAAAAGAAGAAAAATTAACTCATTATAACCATAAAATTACCTTGCGCTCTCGTTTCATAAATGGTGAATGGTACTTTAATTATTAAGAATAAAATATTATGAACATTTTAATAACAATCTATTTACTTATAATTAAACGGGTTTGTTAGTACAAATTCCAAAATACTAAAAAAAACTTTGAAATTTATATTAAAAAAGGGAAGAACCAAAGTGAAAGGGGTTCAATGTCTATCCACCCAAAGCCAGAAAAATTCACACCACTTTTTCATAATTAAAATTAAAAACAACGTAAATATTTAAACAAAGAAGTTTTTGATTATATTTTACCTTAAAATAAAATAAAATTTAATTAAAATAACCGGAATGTCGAACCAGCTTACCTTCAGGCTTCGAGAGAAAAATCAACGGCAACTTGATCGAATCTGAAACCGGTCGGTCATCTGATCGATAAAACCCAACGACAAAACAACAATAATAATAATAAACTCAATTTAAAAAAACAATAATTTTTTATTCTTTATAAATAAAATTAGTACAAATTACAAAGATAAAATATTATTTGGGTCCTGTCGAAGGCCATGGCGTGCTTGCCGCCAAGGCTGACATTTTTGAAATTACGGTAGAACATTCTTTGATATTTTTCATTTTAATATTCATTTCCTCGCGGACTAAAGCTCAAAAAACTTCTTATTAGACTCAAAAATGGGCTTTTTGAAGCTACAAAAAAGTCTAATTGGAACGTTTCAAAGGAGTTAACTGTTAAATAGCACCGGTGTAAGCGTTTTTAACTACGTCACATGACGGGTACTGAATTATGATCGTTTCAAAAGTTTCAACTGTTCACTAGAACCGGTTTCCAAGGTCTCCAATTCGGGTTCCATAATTTTTTCCCAATTATACACTGGCAGGTAAAAAATTACACCCAATTGATTTTTTTTTCATTTTCTCGATGAAAGAAAATTCTGCCCTTAATTTCACTCAGTGTTTTTATCAATAAATATTTGTTTATGCTGTTTAAAATTGGGAATATCAATTAGAGGTATTAAGGACACTTAATCCTTAATCCCAAAACAAGGATAAAGAATTTTTCAATGTTTACTTTTTATGGAATTTAAAATGTTTATTTAGTCGCAATGGAAGGCTGAAGCAATAAACTGTTTAGTTTCATCTTTGTTTTCTTAATTTCAATTTTTAAACTTAAAAATGCCACTCAGTGCTGAGGATGTTGCGCGTGTGTGGCATTTATTGATGACGGACTGAAACACTTCGAGACGTTAGACGTTTTCGAGAAACTGGGCCCTACCATAAAAGGCCCGGTTCTGGGCGCCCTAGGATAACAGAATTACGTGATGACCGTTTTTTGACTTTGAGAATTATGCGAAACCGGCACCTTACTGTTGTTCAAGCGATTCATGAGCTCCAGGAAGTTTGAGGTGTCCAAATTTCTGAACGCACTGCTCGAAGAAGATTAAATCAATATGGACTGATGGTTTTTTGCCCCGCAAGAGGTCCAGAATTGACAAGAACATCCAGAGTTACTCGAGAACATGCCATTGGTCTTTAGATTGATCTGCTGTACTTTTTACAGGTGAGTGTAGATTTGCTCTACAATCCAGATGGGGGTGAAAGAGTGTGGAGAAGGCGAAATGAAAGGTACGAAACTTGTAATTTTTCCCAGAGCTAACCTTTTCAATGTGCTGCTCTGTGATGTTATGGGCAGGATGGTTGTTGTTCGTGGATGGTCTTTGACGGCAACTCGCTTGTGGATGAAATTTGGAACTTCATGCGTTACCTATCTCCGATGAAATAACCGACAATCCTATTACAATGCACGATAATGCCCTTCTACATGTCGCATAGTAAAAACATACCTTCAACAGCATAACATCAGGGTCTTAGCCTGGCCAGCCCGTTCTCCAGACTTGAACCCGATCGAACATTTATGGGATAAGGTTCAAAAGACGAATAAGTCCATCACTTCCTACACAATCTTGAAACACTACACGATATTGAAAGGTCTCTTCGTGAAGATTGGGCTACCTCCAGCAAAGAGACATTTCCAGACTGGTAGAAAGTATGCCGAGGCGCCTTCGAGATGTAATTAAGGCAAGAGGAGGAAATACGCGATATTGAAATGTTATTAAAAATCTAAAACAAATTTCATCTGTCCGTCCTTTTTTAATTTTTTAAAATTATTTGTTATTATTAATTTTCCTTAGCAATTTACATTTTTCTTTACTTTTCTAGATAAAGACTCAATTATTAAACGTTAAAAAACCTGAAACTTTGATTAATATATAAAAACATATACAAATCGAGTTATATTACAAGTGGATTGAATATTTTACCTGTCAGTGTACATTTAAAAAGTTAACGTTTTGAAGCGTCGAAAATTTCGATTAGGTTGAAACGTTTCACAAGTTTCAACTATTCACTAGAACCGGTTGTTCCAAGTTCTTCAGTTCGAATTCCATGATTTTTTCACAATTGTACATTTAAAAAGCAACGTTTTGAAGTGTCCAAAAAGTTTCAACCGTTCACTTTAACCGGTTTGGAATATTCCAAGTTCTCTAGTTTGAATTCCATGATTTTTTCCTAATTATACATTTAACAAGTTAACGTTGTGGAATTGCCAAAAATTCTAAAACCATAAAAACGTTTGTAAGATTTCAACTGCTCAAAATAACCGGAATGTTTCAAGACTACCTTCTCGATTTCGTCAATTTTCTCCTCAAAATATTAATTTTTCAAGTTTCAAATATTGGAAAAAATTGAAAGCGTTTCCACCGGTTTAGGACGTCCCAAGCGTTATGGTTCGTTTCACACGTTCCAGCAATACGACATTCCTGTTTTTGTTTTTGATAATTTTTCTTTGTATCCTGAAAGAATAAATTTTGCTAATTTGGTGTTGGTTAATTGCACGTCGATTGACAGAGAACCGGACCGACAATTAAGTAGGATGGATGGTTGTTAGGAAATTGAATTTCACCTCGGCCTTGTTTCCACCGTCGGGTGGAGTTTTATTTTCCCCAGGTAACTCAAAAAAAGATAATACAGAGGAAAATGTTTATATTTTGTTGGAATATTTCGCGTCAGACCGGTATGCCCAGGCGCTTCGCCTCATCTTCGAACTTGGATTTGAAAAGCCCCTTGGGGTCGAAGATCCGTTCGAGGACGGCGAAGTCCGCCGGTCTCTTGTCAAGCAGGTACTTGATGACTTTCTCGGAGCCGACTCGTTGCCTTTCGGTGCAGTGAGAGCAGCCGGTGGCCAGGGCGTCGGGAAGCGAATCTGAAAAAAAAGAAGAAATAGATATTCGAAAACTTGGATTCAAAGTTTAAAAGTTAGCACTCGTTTCAAAGGTTCCAAGAACAAAAGTTGAGCGAGTACGGCTGAATCAGTACAGAATGTTTCAACCGCTTCAAAAGTTCCAAAGAGGTAATAAAGTTGGGTGCTGAATCAGTGTAGAACGTTTCAACTGTTTCAAAAGTTCTAAGGATGCACAAAGACTGGGCCATTAGGGCTGAATCAGAACAGAACGTTTCAACCGTTCCAAGGATGAGCAAAAGATGGGCCATTAGAGCGGGCTGAATCGTACTAAACGTTCAACCGTTTCAAAAGTTCCTAGGAAGTAAAAAAGTTGGGCGCTGAATCAGTATATGACGTTTCAACCGTTTCAGAAGTTTCAGGGATATAAAAAATTGGGCGCTGAATCAGTACAGAACGTTTCAACCGTTTCAAAAGTTCCAAGAATGTAAAAATGTAAAAAAGCTGGGCGCTGAATCAGTACAGTACGTTTCAACCGTTTCAAACGTTTCAAGGATTTACAAAAGCTGTACGATTAGCACCGAATCAGTATAGAACGTTTCAATTGTTCCAAGGATGTACAAAAGTTGGGCCATTATGACTAAATCGAATTGAACATTTCAACCGTTTCAAAAGTTCTAAGTTCAGTTACCTTTGAGCTCCTTGGCATCAGGGGTGCAACGTCCTCGGTCCGTGAGGCAATCGAAGTATTTTCTGTAGAGTCTCTGGTTCTTCATAATCACCTCGACGTCTATGTTGTCATATTTGGTCGTGTATTGGGTAGACGAGGTGGCGCATGCCAACAGCCAGATCAGCAGGGTCGCGGATTTCATTCTGCACTGATGCACCAGCGTTGGCATCGTCCGGTATTTAACAGACGGAAAATAGACGGGAGGGGCCGAGTGGAAAATATGATTCCGACAAAAATAATTACACCTTTGTTTAATAGCAGAGTGACCCGATGAGACATCCTACGAATGAAATATCAATTGCCAAAAAGGATTCACACATGGATAAGGACGAATCACATGAAATCTTTGAAACTGTTAAGAATCGTTAAAACTTCAAAATCGTTCAGTTTTACTATCTTTTGGTAGGAGATCATGAAATACGAGAAGAAAGACTTGCATTCTAAACCGGTTAACAATTTGGAATTTTTAACTTCACAACGTTAATATTTTTTAAATTCACTAATTTCGTGGTCCGCTTGACCAATTAAATCATTACAATTAATTAAGGTTTTTAGTTAAGATGAAAAAAAGTTAATGGCACGAGCGGGATTCGAACGCACGATCTTCGGCTAGATACGCCGCTGCTCTACCACTACCAAGTGGTAGAGCAGCGGCGTATCTAGCCGAAGATCGTGGGTTCGAATCCCGCTCGTGCCATTAACTTTTTTTCATCTCAACTAAAAACCTTAATTAAATGTTAATATTTTTAGTGTAATTGGGAAAGAATCACAGAATCCGACTTTGAGCATTTGGACCGTTCCACACGGGTAATTTTGAACAATTGAAACTTTTGGGAAGGTGTGGCATTTTTGACAGAAATCGTTTATTATTTAGAGAAAACGATGAAAAAAATCACGGATTTTTAACTTCACAACATTAACTTTTGTAATAATTGAGGAAAAATCGCAGAATCCGGCTTGGGGCATTTGGAACGTTCCACACGGTTCTTGAACGTTCCACACTCTACAGGTTCCAATGTACGAAATATCACAATTCATCGAAAAGAATATGGACAAATATTTTTTGATTTGGGGAGGGGGCGCTTGTATTTCAAAGTGTACCAGGTTTTGACAAAAGCTGGGAAATGTGTCTCATAAAGGCCGCTTGAGTTGGCGGCCCTGCATCCCTGGCCTGGGGGTGCCCGGCCACCCTCTTTTCAGTCGGGGAACCCATTACGGTCGGAAAAGTTCAATACGTCGTATTAACGCGCGTTCCAGGCCCGGTGAAATTAAAAATAAAAATTGGTTTATTAAAAAAAGGGTTGAATTGTTTAAATATTCTATGTTTTTTGGAAAATTTGTTGTGAGTCGGTTTTTTTAGAAAAAATATTTTGCCAGTGAGCCCAGTGGATGTCCCTCACCCCTATTGGATTAACCCATCGAGATGATAGCCGACGCAGTTGTCATGTTGAGGTATTTAAACTTTGAATTAATTATTTTTTATTTAGAATAAAATTGTTTAAACAAAACAAAAAAAGATTTACTAAAAGAAAGAGATTGTTTAGAGAGTTGGATTTTGACCAGGAAAACTGAAGGTCGGCCATGCTTATCAAAGTTAGAATAAAATATAAAAAATAAATAAAACGAAAAATCTTGTTAAAATTGTGGTTAAAACAGAAATTGACATAACAAAATCATGAATTTTTGTATTGTTTGTTGTGAAAAATTTGGACCGATCTAAAATCCAAAAGAGGACCAAAAAAAGTTTGAACAATTTTTAATGTCGCTTCCCCTCCACAAATTTGCTCTTTATTTAATGTCTTCATATTTAAAAAAAAAGATTTATTGTATTTATTTACTTTTTTACTGAGAAATTTTTTTTCTCTCTTCGACGATTGGGGGCTTTTCACTTTCTTTTTTTCCCATAAGAATATTATCTTTTTGTTGAAATTGTCGCCCCCCCCTTTCAGGACGAGAATTGCTTCGTCTGTTCGTGAAGTCGAGACCGCTACTAGTTATTTATCTCAAACCGGAATCTTCCTCGCCCGCCCTCCCAGACACGATGGAGATAAAGCGAGTCAGAAAAAGAACAAAAAACAAATCGTGCATGTCAATAGATAGGGGGTTTCCAAAGGGCAGGGAAATAATCTGCGAGTGAACGAACTATTGTATAGGTTAGCTGCTAATGATGTGAACGATGAAAGAATCACGGAGTGGCAATGGGTTAGCGCTTCATTAAATGAACGATGAATAATCGCCGTGAGTTAACGTGTGATTGTAAGGGTGAGTGGCTCAATAAGTGAACGTATGTTGAATGAATCACTGAGTGAGTGAGTGACTGGGTTATCGGCTCATTAAATGAATCACTGTGATAGAATGACTATGGTTTATCGGCTCGTTAAGAGAACGAACGATGAATGAATCACTGAGCGAGTGAACGATTAACGGTGGGTGAGTGGCTCATCAAGAGAACTGACGATGAATGAATCACTGAACGAGTTTCGATGGGTTTTCGGCTTAATACGAGAACGAACGTTGAATGGGTCACTAATTGAGTGAGTGCCTCGTTGAATATTGGGTAAGTGCCTCATTATGGGAACGAATGATGAATCAGTGTGATTGAGTGAACGTCTAACTATGTGGGTTTGTCACTAATTTAGTGGACGTCTGATAAATAAATCACTAAGTGATTTAGTGAACAACGATTAATTAACAATTAATCAACACAAATTAATCATTGTGTGTGAGCGAATGTACCAGTGAGTGACTGGGCATTAGGCTCATTAAGCGAACGAACGATGAATGAAATCGAGCGAGTGAACAATTGACTACGGGTGATGGACGCATTAAGTGAACCGTGAAAGAATCTCTGTGAGCAAGTGAATGTGTGTAGCAAGTGTGCGTCTGTATTGGAGTGTGAATCATTAAGAGAACTAACGATGAATCATTGTACGTGAGCGAATGAAAATGTGAGTGGCTATGGATGAACGGGCTCATTAAGCGAACGGTGAAAGAATCACCGAGAGTAAGTGAATGTGTGATTATATCGGTGAGTGGCCCATTAAGTGCACGAACGATGAATTAATACAAAGTGACGGAGTGAACCTGTGTGTGAATCGGCTATAAGCTTATTAAGTGAACGAACGATAAAACAAACACCTTGAGTGTACCTGTAAGTGACGATGGTGAGCGGCTCATTAAATGATCGAACGATTAATGAATGATTGTGTTAATGTTTCATTTAGTGAACGAACAATGATTTTTGCCGATTAAATTTCACCATGGCCTCCAATTAATGATTTTAAAAATATATTTGAAAAATTAAAATTTCTTAATGTATGGGATTACTTATGGTTTTTGCGTGTTTTTCTGTTTATTTTATATGTTTAGGGCAAAGTGGTGAAGGGAATTTTATTATTCAATGCATCCCTTGCCGGTCTCGCGTCGCCGTTCACTTCCTCTCTCTCAGTTCCCGCACCATTTTGAAAAGTTGATGCCGATCGACCGGGGCCGGAGTCGCAGGGCGCCTGGGACGCTAATAGAAACGGCTCCTATTAATAAAACGGGAGCGAGGAGCCCTTCTAAGTACCCCGGGAGACTCGGGGTGACATCTGTGACAACTTAAATATACCCGTGGGAGGGGGCGTTGTCGATTTATCGGAGGGCGAGGAATGATAATTTTGGAAACGCAGATGAGCCTCTAGCATCATTAAAAAAGATGAAAACAAGATGATTCCGTACTCGAAATGAGAAAGTCGTCGTTCAGTCGGTAATTTACTCGCATCGTACTACGTTCCATTCCAGCTGGAACAAACGTTTAGAATTTGGTAGACTGGAAAGTTCAAGGTTACATTTTCACCGATTGAAAAGCATCAACCGGTTCAGAATCTCTGAGACATTACAGGATTCAAGTTAATTCGACCAGTTAAATATCCGAGATACATTACACCCTATTAGATAATATTACAATTGTTTAGATTGAAACGTTCCAACCGGTTAAGAATCAGAGAGGCATTAAAGAGTTCAAGGTTGCATCGTATCGGTTGAAACGTTCCAAAGGTTGAGGAATCGATGTGGATAAAGAGTTCAAAGTTGCATGCACCGGATGGCACGTTTCAACCGGTTAAGGCACTTACAAACTTTAACGAGTTCAGTGTTACAATATTGTACAAATTAAAACGTTCCAAGCGTTGAGAAATCGGTGGTAATAAAGAGATCGGTTGGAACGTTCCAAAAGATTAGGAAGATGCAAAGGTACAGTTGTGTCAGTTGAAAAGTTGAGGGATCGGTGTGTCTAAAGAGTTCACAGTTGCACAAAGTTGTGGTTTGCTAAGAAACATTCCCACCAATTAACAATTTTCCAGGCATTATAGGTGAAGGTTGAACGTTTCAAATTGTTAAGGCGCTAAGAAACTTTAGCGAATTCAATGTTACAATTGTACAAATTGAAACGTTCTAAAATTTTAGGAATCGGTGAGACGAAAGAATTAAAAAATTCCGTTTATGACGGTTGAAACGTTCCAACCGGTGAACATTCTTTAAGAATAAAGCGTTCAATGGACAATTGTATCGGTTGAGGTTCAACCCGTTAAGTACCTATGAGGCATGCTAGAGACCTGGAGGTTAGGATTGGCGACAACCTTTGGGAATAGATGACTAAATATTTCATTGCTACAATGTGCCAGCTGAAACTATCAACCGTCTAAAGCTCAGTGAAACTTTAGTGCTAAATGGAATAATTCGATTGGTTGAAACTGTTAAACCGTTCGCATCTTTGAAACTTCTAGTCTAAGGACGTACATAAAATTTGAAATGTTTCATACAATTTAAAAAAATCTGTGAGTTATGAATCTCTTAGTAAAATTAAAACACTCGAAACGTTCCAACTAGTTCAGAATCTGTGAGACATTAAGACTTCAAGGTCACAATCTTATCGGTTGAAACGCTCGAAACTCCGTGAAACTTAAAACGGTTCACAAGACTGGATAGAAGAACGTTCCTGCTGGTTCAAAATCTGTAAAGCGTTTGAAAACTTGAAACGAACGATATATATTATATTTGTTGAAACGTTGGGCTGATTCAACCGGGGAAGATAATCATTAAAACTGGATGTTATTCTATGGACTATTTGAGAGAGTGACGGTGGGCAATGTCTTGAGATGGAATCCATTAAATAACAATCATTACCAATGATTGCTTTGAAGCTCATAGAATTTGCAAAACACCTCCTTCCCGAGGAACAGCCCTGGCCGGGCCATGCCTTCATTCTCGATTATTTGAAATTTTAACGCGTTCTAAATGGAATTGGGACATTTGAAATTTGAAATTTGAAATTGAATCATTCCAACCGGAGGAAAGTAGTAACGTTTCACTTTTTGGACTGTGGGATTTAACGAGTGTCTGGAAAAATAAAAAAACTTGGAATGTTCCAACATTTTGGAATAATGGAAGCTTGGCGGACCCTAGAGAAAGTTATGTCTCGTTATAGTTGGAACAATCGGCACGTTTCAAATGTTTCGAACTTTAAGACTTAATGTACGTTTAAGAAAATAAAACCACTCGGAATGTTCCAACCTTTTAGAATAATGGAAGCTTGGCGGACGCCTAGGGAAAGTTAGTACACTTGGAACATTTCAATTGTTTCGAACTTTGAAACTTCACGAAGTCAGGTTGAAATTATAATACTTGGCATATTTTAAATTTTTGGAACTTTCACACTTAACGAATGCCTAGGAAAATAAAAACACTCGGATCGTTCCAACCTTTTAGAATAATGGAAGCTTGGCGGACGCCTAGGGAAAGTTAGTACACTTGGAACGTTTCAATTGTTTCGAACTTTGTAACTTCACGAATGTCAGGTTGTAGTTATAATACTCGGCATATTTTAAATGTTTGGAACTTTTTTCTTTTCAACTTAACGAATGCCTAGGAAAATAAAAACACTCGGATCGTTCCACTCTTTTAGAATAATGGAAGCATGACAGACGCCTGGGTAATGTTGGTTCACTTGAAACGTCCCAACCGCATAGAATCATGGAAGCTTGACAGACTCCTGGGTAAAGTTGGTTCACTTGAAACGCTCTAAACGTTCGTAATATTTGAAATTTTCGTTTCAAACTCTTCAAAATTTTCAGGGCTTTTTGATGCTGGTGAGCCTGGTAATGGTCCATACAGTTGGAACGTCCCAACCGTACCGAATCCTTTGAAGCTTATACGATCTATTCGATTTGCTATTTGACAAAATTTGGCTGTTTTTTTCTGTTTTGAACTTTTGAAACGCTTGTGACTGATCTAACGTCCTCCGATTGACCAGGATCGAGGCAGGTATTCCGGAATGTTAATAACCCTGCCAAAGAATCTTGCGTCCTGGCCAAGAGAAGCATAGACCTAAGATATTTTTTGTTCGATTAGCTTCTCCGGCCTTTCTTATTTTTTCTTTCTCAGTCCAGCTTAATTATCAACGACAGGCCGGT